ATCTGTACAGGAAGTAAACATCACTGAGCATGGTGCGTTTGAAGAGAAGGAAGAACTGGGGTATGGAGTATCAGTGGATATGAGCAGAACGGGATGAGAGAGGACAACAGAAAGTAAGGGGGCATAGAGATAGGAGATAGGAGACAAAACACAACATCACTGCATCGGCAGTGAAGGTAAGACTCCAGGGATGGTAAACAATCTAGGTTTACTGTAAAGTAAATTTGAGAGAGACTGGAGTATGTGGACCATAGTTTCCTGATGTGAAGACCTTAGGAATAACTGAAGTTAGCACCGCCAGAAATCTAGACTCATCATACACCGCCCAGCAGAGCTAAGGAGCATATCTTAACATAACTGACCCTTCACACGCACTTGTAATATCACACCCAGACATGCTGGGATGAAAAGGACTTGCAACAGAATGTGTGCTTCCCATTTATTGTGGTCTTTTATTTTGACAGTGAAAGAAGAGAATAATTTGTTGAGAATATAACTGTTAAAAGAACACCATAGACAGTTGGAAACAGAACAGAAAAAAAATTCAAGTTATAGCCTGAAACATACTAACATTTCCTAATATCCCACAATGGGTCCATATAATAGAAGCAATTTCTATTTTCAGTTTTATTTCCTCCTGGCGTAACTAAACTCCATTATTTTATTACTTTGTGGATAATGTTGCGCTACCTCCTAATTTCCCAAGTTCATTCTTTATCAAGCCTTAAAGGGAAGACCTGCCATTCCAACATTCCATTATGTAACAAACAGGTTTATAATTCTATATTCAAACTTTTCTTCCATATAATTGGGACTTTGAATGGAATCTATTTGAATCTGATAATATTTCATGGGCCACAAACTACAAATAACACTAATGCTTTCCTAATGGGTCTTGGGGTTTGGGATTTTAAAGCCCCATTCTTCGTCAACAATTATATGATTCACTTTTATTTTTATACTGAGGTTTACATTGGACAGAATTTCAGAAACAATTTCCCTGTATTAGGGAGCAATAATCTCTTATCTTCCCTGATTCTACAGAAATCATGCACAAAATTGTGGGTTTCTAGGATATGCGGCAAGAGGAATTTGCTTTCCTTTGTTATTACTTCAGAATCTAAAGATATTTGTAACCACAACCCGTTCATCTGAATTTAGTCAATTAACACAATGAAAATATTTACTTCTCTCTCAGCACTTTGGTTTTGTCAAGTGACAAAAACTATTCTCACAGTGTTGTCTTAGAGGGAAATAGAAACTATAAGACTTGAACTTTAGAAATGTTTTCTTAGTATGTTTTTTTTCCACCTGAGGAAGTCTCAGTCAACTTCCCAGAAATGCAGTTACCCCCTTGTCACAAGCTGCCTCTGTATGTCCATTGTAAAAATCCAGTTAGATTTCTTCTAGTGTGCCATATGGCAAAATGGAACTTCAAATGTTGATCTCTTTAATATGATTTCCCATAGAAAAATTAGAATGGTGGCTGAAAAAAATTTACTGGTCAAGTGTTAATTAGAATCTGGCTTTTAGGTCACACGTACTCTTAGCTGTGTGACTGACACACTGATACACTGATATACTTCATGCTAAGCCAGGAATCTGAGTAAGACTGACATATTGGTGGAGATAATTCTTATTCATAGGTATTTGTGCACATATCATAGACTGTCCCCAGCATCCTTAGACCTTACCCATGAGATACCAGCAGCATCTCACTCTCAGTCCTTGAGACAATGAAAAGAATATTCCCCAGTGTTATTCTGGGATCTAGCATAATTTTAAACCTTAGTTTCCACATCAGCAAGGTATCATTAATGAGACTGGTGAGCTGCTATTGGTTTGCACAGATGCATTGAAAGGGTATTCTGCTATGTGAATGTGGATTATTATTTGAAAGATACAGCTATTTATTCACACACTGCATTTATGATATCTTTATGGGTGACAGGGATTTGCTAGGTCTATGCTGGCAGAGCACAACAAAGGTTCTAAAGGATCCCTAAAGGAAAAATGTATCCCATTTCCAACCTCAAAATCAAGAGTTAAGAGTTTAGGGGCTGGGGATTTAGCTCACCAGCAAAGCGCCTGCCTGGCAAGCGCAAGGTCGTGAGTTCGGTTCCCAGTACCGGAGAAAAAAACCAAAAAAAAAAAAAAAAAAGAGTTAAGAGTTTATAGATAAATCTACATCTTAAAACCTGAGTTCTGAGTGTCAATCAGAGATTTGATCCAAATTACTATGGAGGTTTATTCTACATTTGAAGGTCCTGTGAAAATAAGAAAATTAGGGTGGAATGTCTCCTTCAAGGATACTAAGTACCTTTTATCTAGAAACTCTATTAATGTGTAGTCATTAGGATAAAATTATTTTGCCTTAGAAGTGATTAAGTTATCTGGAGAATGCATGGACTGTAGCTGCGGTCCTGGAAGGAAACTGCTCAACATGAAGCTGCAGATCGTTTCTGGATGTTCTCGGGCAAAGGCGATCTTTTGCTTTTAAGAGAAGTGAAGAGGGCTGTGGGGCTTGGCTTTGGAGAAGAAGGCTGAGAAAAGATGGCTCAGATGTCCTATTCAGGATCAGAGCCTATTATTTGCTTTAGTTAAAAGGGCAAATAAATGCCAAGTCAACTCCAGGCACAGCAGAGGTGAATACCACAGTGTAGGCAGAGACCAAATATTTCCTGTCCTGGGCAAAATTTAGAGGATACTGGCTGTAGTTCTTTATGCATTTTGTTGGGATCTGTAACTTCAAACACTCTTAGGAGATCTTAGACACTGGAAGTTTCTCTGGAGTGTTTTGTGATCATTCAGTTTTTAAAATAAGATAAGCAAAACTACCTCTGTGGAAGAAGATACTCTCTGCACTTCATTTTGTTCCTTTATTATTTCTTCCACACACAAAAAGGTAAGGTCACTGAATGCAATTTTTTCTTTGTGCAAGCCAATTTTGCATAATGCCGCACAGACAAATGCTTACAAAAGACTCAGAAACACAAACAAGATGAGTTAGGAGAAAAGATGAGAACAGATGAAATGAATGTCACGTTGTTGCTAGTAACAATTCAAGTAGAACAAAGAAAGGCTGCAGCGCTGGAAAATGGAGGGCACAAAAGTGAAGGAGATCAACTGGAAAAAGGTGACCCATAGGGGCTGGGTCACCTTTGGGGCTGACTTAACTCCCATAAAGGGGATATTAACAAGCCCGAAGACTTGGAGCTTTGACTCAAAAAAAATCTTAAAACTTAGAAGATAGCCTTTTCTTCACTTTCATCTTGTGCTAGGCTTCTTAAGCAATATTTACATCCCTAGTATGTTGACTATGATAAATGTGTAATTATAATGTATATTTTAAAACAATTTTAGTTTCTTTTGATTGATAACATTGGAGAAGAAATAGAACATTCAGTATAGTAGAGTGTCTGGTCCTTTAAATTTTGGCAGATAAGGACAATTTCCACGGTATAAGAGACATTTTGCTCTTATGTGTAAACCTGTAATAAAATGTTGCTGACAGACTAATTAAAAACATTTTATATATTTCGTGCATATGTGCTCCTCTCTAAACCAATTTAATTCCCATTAATGCTAATCTTGTTAATACCCACTCAGAGAGCAAAGGAGTACTCATAATACACTACTGATTTATTTACTTGATTTAAATGGGGGATAGACACGAACAGACAAAAGGAAAAGCAACCATTTTACCTACAACTGCACTTCTTTGAATATTTTCCCAATATTAATAAGCATTAAGTTATAAATGATGCGACTAGGAAATTGGAAAAATAAAGTGACATAGTGACAATCCTCCACCCATGAAAAAGTAAGGGCATTGCAAACGAGTTGTCCATTGGTAGTTTTTTAGTACTAGCTACAAGGTTAGACCTGAGCTGTTACAAAGAAAAATAGATTATCTTTCTTCAAAACAATGTAAAGAAAAATGAATCTCATACTGATGAGCTCTAATTCAAATGAGTTTTTCTTTAAAAAAAAAAAAAAGACAGTCAAATCAACGAGCAGTTAAGTAACACTTCTACCACATCTTACCCTGGGTCTAGTGTGGCTGTCCATCTTGCCCTGGTTACAAGGATCCAATAATGTCTCTCAAACTCAGTCAAACACCAATCAGTCAAACCTCCGTATCTTTATCTTTATGGTACATTGATCATCCAAGAGGTTTTATCCAGATCTTAGTGGTTTCCTTAAACACAATTATGTAATGAAACTGGGAGCCACAAGACCATTGGAACTCAGAAAACAACTAAAAAAAATCCTCTATCCCATTTCAGATCATCCTGAAACTAGGTAATGAAGATGCAACTGTTTTATTTATTTATTTTTTTTGTTTTTCTCCCGTACCAGGAACTGAACTCACGACCTTGCACTTGCCAGGCAGGCGCTTTGCCGCTGAGCTAAATCCCCAGCCCCTCAACTGTTTTATTTTTAATTGTACCTTAGAAAAAGAGACAAAATAGAAACAAATGGAAGACAGGGTTTTGCCAGGATCTACCACCTAGCCTTAAGGTGAGTCATTTAATCTCCCTGAGTCTGTTTTCCTTATCTGTAAAATGGGGATAATAGTATCTCTGTATAATACTGTACTTTTACACCATGTGTAAGGATCAAACAATGTCTTTGAGTGCAGTACAAAAGCTGTGGAAAGCTGTCCACACATAGAGCACTACTGCCGAGCTGGAAAATGAAAACGTGGCACAGGAGAACAGGAGAAAAACAGTAAGGACCGAAATCAATTTTATCAGGGTCTTTTTTTTTTTAAGAAATGTTTACCCTCAGGATTTTCTTAAAAATTTTAATGACAACTGATGTTCATACTTTATGCTTGGGTACGGAGAACACAAAATAAAACTGAAAATTCAAATTATTCAGATGGGAGAAGTTTTCCTTTTCTGTTTACCCACATGTTTGGCCTCAGTGACACATCAAAGTGGGGTGGAGGCAAGAACATTCATTGAAAAAATACTGAAACGAGTATTTTCTGCACAAATATTAAACTGCCTTTTCTCTACCGACTGGTAAAAAAATATATTATACTTTGATATTTTTTTTCTTTTTAAATTATATTTTGTCATCCATCCCAGCCAAAGTCGTGCCCCGTCATCTGGTAGAACTTGAGGTTGAAGGGCCGGTAGAACTCGCGCAGTCGCTGCACCACCTCGGGGTCGATCTCGGGGTGGGTCCTGCCCTTGGTTTTGCCCAGGCAGTGGGGCTTGCTGCTGCCCTCGGCCTTCTTCAGGCAGGGGAAGCCCTTGGTCTTGTTGAAGTAGAAGTGCTTGTCCGTGATGATGCGCTTGAGGCCCAGGAAGTCCTGCACGCGGCCCAGCTCGCCCGCCGGGT